ACAAAGGCTTTCCTGTCCACCATGTGTATGATCACTGTCATTCTTACTGGCTCCTCTGAGGAAGACGGTTTTCTTGAACTTTATCCTGGTTATTCTAAAAGTAAACTTTTAGGCTGAGTGTGGCAACACACTCCTGTATTCTTAGCCATCAGAAAATAGACAGACCCAGTTTTGAGATACACAGGATGCCCCTGCAAACACCCTTATCCCCACCAGTGCACTAAAAAATTTGAGACTAATTGTGAAAGTGCTAATGACAGGTATCTTCATACTGGAATTACCTTCCAGTGTTCAAGGTAGGCCCCCCCCCCATGTGAAGTTGTTTACATGCCCATTGTTTTTCTGAGGCTTTGTTAGTCCTAAACATGTTTGTTTTCCCCTCCAGGGAAAATGTGAAAAACGAGTACAGGATGTAATTGAGCGATTCTGGGATTTCATTGACCAATTGAGCATCAACACTTTCGGTGAGTGAGTATTTCCCCATTATTCACCAAGATCTCAGCTCATTTCCACCGTGACTCGGGTGTGCTTTCACAATTTGTGATCCTGCATCAGAGGACTGAATATTCACCACATTTGTTATGAAATGACTGTTGGGAACTGGAGAGATGGCCCAGGGTTAACAACACTGGTCATTCTTCCAGAGGTTCAATTCCCAGCACCCATAATTACCTGTAACTATAGTCCTAGAGAACCTGACACCCTCTTCTGGCCTCTCAGGGCACTACATTCACATGGTGCACAGACACATGGTAGGACATATAAAAACAAAGGTTTGAAAGCCAGGTGGTAGTGGCCCACGCCTTTAGTCCCAGCACTTGGAAGGCAGAGGCAGGCGCATCTCTGTGAGTTCGAGACCACCCTGGTCTACAAGAACTAGTTCCAGGACAGGCTCCAAAACTACAGAGAAACCCTGTCTCAAAAAACTAATAATCAATATAAAGGTTCAAAGCCAGGCTTTTAATCATAGCACTCAGGAGGAAGAGGCAGGTGGATCTCTGAATTTGAGGCCAGCCAGGTCTACAGACTGAGCTCCAGGACAGACAAGGCTGTTACACAGAGAAACCCTGTCCTGAAAAACCAGACACACCTTCAAAAACATTTTGTTGGCTAAGACAAAACTCACTACAGGGCCACTCTTGTGTATCTTGCAGAAGAGAGTGGTCCAGCTGAACTTGGTTCAGTCTGTTGACCCTGTTGATGCAGGAATTGTTTACCAGTGGTGGGTCTGTTTTTGCAGATGGCAAAAGACTACTAGAGAATTTTGCTGTAAAAAACTAACCTTCAGGTCATAAAGTATTGTCATCTTAAGCATGTTGTGCTTGGTCGGTTGGCCCCAGGAACAGAGGAAGTAGGGTAATAATACTCTAGTTCCCTCACCCCCGAGCACTGCCTGGCATGATGTATATGGCTGAGACATTCACTGTTTGGAATTATTCACAGGAAAGTTTTTGGCAGACAACATCGTAGGGTCCGTCCTGGTTTTCTCCTTGCTATTCTGGATTCCATTCAGCATTCTTGTCCACTGTGTGGTAAGTCTAAATTTAAGTGATCAAACATTTTACAGAAATGTTGAGCAGCTGCAAACTGAATGATAGATATAAAGTGTTGCAGTGCTATCCTGAGTGTTCTAAGATGGCTTACCTCGAAGCCTGCCTGACGATCTTTGAATAAAATGGAAGCTGGGTGCTTAGCTCAGCTAGGAGAGAACTTCCCTAGGGCTGTGTTCCTCCTCCCCAGCACCGATAAACTAGGCACAGTAGGCCACATACTCAGGACATAGAGGCAGAAGGACCAGGAGGCTATCCTCAGATCCATAGTGACCACAACAGTAGGTACACTCATGTTCTTTCCCCAGGACTTACATGGTGAATGGAGAGAATGGACTCCCCAGGGTGGCCCTCAGCCTCCACAGGTGTATAGTTTTTTGTTGTTTTTTAAGCAAACAAACAAAACACAAATTATACTTTGAACACAGGAGAGCATTTAGCTGGACTTGCCTGGGGCCTGTGTCTTGTATAGTCAACATGAGTGCTTTTTAGCTGACTTGGTTATAGGGGAGCAAATGTCAACACTTTCAGGAATCCCCATGTACTGTGTAGATACTGACATTATCATGTGTGGTGGCCACATCTTTACAAATAAGTTAAAATTTCAGGTACTTTACAAATTGAGTTTAAAAAATTGACCTTACATGAGTAGGTAGTGAGTGCCTTACATATGCAGGGTGCCTCCTGGCTTCTCCCACAGTGTGGACACAGTGCTTATGGGGTGCGAAGGCTCTGGGGCACTTGTACTGAGGCAGAGCTGCCATTGTGGTGATGGAAAGTGAGGACAGCAGCACCATCCCTCCCAAGGGTTTATGCTGTGAAGTTGAGTAGATTGTATGCACATTTAAAGAAGGTATACAAGTGGACCATGAAGCTGACCTTGATTTCAAAGTAAAGCAACCGAATGGTGGTTTACTTAGTGGGGCCTTTCCCTTTCAGTTAGCATTCAGCCTCCTGCAGAAATAGTGTGGGGATCAAGAGTCAGTTCTGTGAAAGGCTATGGGTTGGGGTAGTGAAGTCAGGACCGAGGGAGCCCGCAGTTACCTTTGCCAACTGTCCAGTGCACCAGCACCATGGATGGGGTCTTACCCTGGCAGCTTTGATAGATGGGACTTAAAGCACCCCCTCTCCATGTATCCAGGCCACCGTTTGTGAAGAGCAGCACTTCCTGCCTGGGAGCATGTGGGTATAGCCTGCTTGAGTGTGTTCTCAGCTAGTGAACCTGTCCCTGGGTTTCTTTTTGGTAGTGCATGGAGGGGTGGCAGACAGACCCAAGGCTCAAGCGTGCTAGGCAACTGCAGGGATGAGCCATGTCTCCCTGCTGCCTCTATGTAGTTGAGGGTCTTAGATCACTCCAGGAAGCACTACTGCTTGAGGGTTGGGTTCCCTTTAGTTTTAGTGACATTTTTACTTGTTCTTTCTAGGATAAGAAACTGGACAAGCAGTATGAATCCCTATCTCTGTTTCACCACAGTGTGAGTATACACAGAAGACAAAAAGAGCAGCCTGAGCAGAGCTCTTCCCTCCCGTGCTAGGGGAAGGATCTGGTTGGGTGTGACGTAGTCGCTTGCTCAGGTGGAAGGCTAGAGAGGAACCCTGGTTTCCTCACAGTGCAGGTGGTGACTCAGCCTCTCAGCACTGGAGCTCCTGCCCGCCTGCGTGGTGGAGCCTCACCTAGCACTTGAGCACGGCCCAGGCCTACTATGGGGTAAGGTTACAGCCTAATGAGCTCTGATTCATTTTCCTCACCTTTCCAGAACATTGAGATGCTGAGCAGCATGGATTCGGCATCTGTTCGCATTATCAAGCCTTTCCCTGCACCCCAGACTCCAGGTCGTCTGCAGCCCCTGCAACCGGCCCCCATGATGCCGCCAGTGTCTGCGGCTCCAAAACTGGACCACCAGAGGATGGACACCATCCAGGAAGACCCCAGCACAGACTCGCATGTGGATGACGATGGCTTTGAGAAGGACCCTTTCCCTAACAGTAGTGCAGCTGCCAAGTCTTTTGAGGACCTCACAGACCACCCTGTCACCAGGAGTGAAAAGGCGGCCTCCTTTAAGCTGCAGCGTCAGAACCGCATAGACAGCAAGGAGACAGAGTGTTAGTGCTCAGCCACACCCTCCAGGACAGGCACATGCAGATGCTAGAGAGCTGAGCTAAACCAAACATTGTGACAACCCAAGGAACATGAAGCAACTTACAGGATGCCGGTCATGTGACGTGACCTTCCTATAACAACCGGTGTAGGTCCTTGAAGGGGTGAGGTCAATCTGGCTAAGTTCAGGTTTTGGGTTTTTTCTCTTTTATAATCTAAAATCTCCTTTGACCTGTGGTGCAGAAGTAGAAAATAAGGCTGCACGGATGCTTGGGGACAGTCTGTCTGTCTACACTGCAAGGGCCCCTGGCCACAGTGAAACACTGGGCAGGTATTACCTAGGGTAGCTGGAATATACTTTCTTATTATGTTTTGCCTTCAAGTAAAAGCAGAGGAACTAGCTGTATGTATACACTGTCTCTAAATATGGCCTGTCTTGTCACTGGAACTTTTGCAGATATAAAGTCCTGTCTACACTTAGGGCCATATTGACTAAGAACGGTCCTGTCCAGGATGAAGACTCTAGCTTCAAGTGAGGTGTGCAGTAATAGCCACGAGAACTTAGAGATGACCCATTCACAGGGTAGTTTCTCTGCCTTACAAAACAAACCAATATTGGGCTGGAGGATTGGGCCAACAGTTAAGAGTGCCCGGTTCTATTCCCAGCACCCACACGGTAGCCTTCTGACCTCTGTGGCACCAGACATGCATATGAAACACAGACAAACGTGGGCAAAATACTCACACATAAAATAAAAAAGCCAAGTGCTGATACAGTTTCAGAACCCAGCCGGGAAGAACGTGATTTGTGGTGTTGTAAGCTTGAGCAAGCGGCTCTTACCAGACCCAGCTCTGGACAGTGCTGCCACTCTCCACCTGGGGCCCAGCCCTGGAAGAACTATCTTCAGACCCAGCAAGACAGCCACATGACCTCCGGCTTTAGTGCTTCAGGAGCCTGGATGCAGCGCACTTACTGTGCGGAGGATAAAAACCATTACCCTGAGTTATGATTTCTATAAAGTCTAGTTGTAAAAGCATTTGTTCTAAGAGTTAAAATGTGCTCACCAGCCAACACATTTTAACCAAGATAACTTGTAAACTCTGAGGACAGCTAACCAAACCTGTGCCTTATCTCTGAAGATGTCTGTTACACTAATACTTGAACATGTACCTTGTGGTATTTGCTCTTTTAACTAGCCATGATAGCCTTATATTTTGAGGATTTTCTATAAGGTGAATGGGGTGTGTGGGTGTATGTATGAATCAAAGTTCTTGGCAGAATATAAGAAAAGCATTTTTTATAAAATTGACCCTTTTTAAACAAATCAGAATTGTTGTTTTTTTTTTTTTTTTTTTTTTCCATGTACAGTATTAACAAGCTGCTCAGGGTATATTCTGTAGCTGTGGTCTGTTGCTGTTTCAGTCAATAAATACTGACCATCAAAACAAAATGGGTCAAGAATAACATTTGCCTGAAAAATACATTATTAACATTGGCAACTGTTAGTGGGTTTTTTGAGCAAGGGGCTGGAGAGATGGCTCAGTGGTTAAGAGCACTGGCTGCTCTTCCAGAGGACCCAGGTTCAATTCCCAGCACCCACAAGGCAGCTCACAACTATCTGTAACTCCAGTTCAAGGGGATCTGGCAACCTCACAAAAACAAACATACAGGCAAAACACCAATGAACTTAAAAAGTCATGAACAGGCCGGGCATTGGTGACGTTCGCCTTCAGTTCCAGCACTCGGGAAGCAGGTGAATCTCTGATTTCGAGGCCAGCCTGGTCTACAGAGCTAGTTCCAAGACAGGGTTTCTCTGTATTGCTTTGGAGCCTGTCTCAAAAAAAAGTTATGAACAGAAGTTAAATCTTGAAAAATATTCAATTTCTTGGTATTTATGAATCATCAGTTTGAGGTTATATACATGATGAACAGTGGTTCTTAGAATGTTTGTGAATTAACAACTGAGGTGGTACCCATGAATGGCAGGAACCGCTCCTACTTGGGAAGGTTTCCCAGGCTGACTAATGGTCTCCGTCTCCCAGTAGACTTAGCTCAGGCTTTGTTTCCTCCACATCGTTCCAATAAGGAAGCAGCCACGGCAGAGAGGAGATCTTATTGTCCAGCAGCGGCCAGAGGTTTAAGAACAGAAACTCGTTTCCCTTTGGTGATAAATGCAGGCCATCTGATAAGTAGGATGAGAAGTCCTGTAGGGAGAGGAGTGATGTCAACTGTGACATCATCAGACCCTTCCAGGCCCATGGAGGAGAGGTGGATTGAGAAAGGTGGGTGGGGGAGTTTAGCATCTGGTTTGGGGACCGTGGGCTGACTTTATATCTTTTGTCTACATACAAAAACCAAACAGCTCTGAAGAACAGAACCAGCCAGGGTAGAATGGGTCGATAAGCAATTCATATATCTTTTGTCTACATACAAAAACCAAACAGCTCTGAAGAACAGAACCAGCCAGGGTAGAATGGGTCGATAAGCAATTCAAACAACAGTCTCCACTCCTCAGCTCCTCCCTGGGTCAGCATCACCAGGGAATGAATACCCCCAGAGAAGAAGCATTTTACTAAGGGATACACTGTAGGCCAGGGGAAGCGACTCAGCAGCGTGCGTGCTTGCTTAGCACTGCTCGGTCCCCAGCACCCCATAAATTGGCAGTGCACCCCTGTAACCCCAGCAACCCACTTCCAGGGGCAGAGGTGGGGCGTTAAAAAAATTCAAGGCCACCCTCAGCTACAAAACAAGTTCGGGGCCAGCCTGGGATATGTGAGGCCCTGTTATAGAAGGGCTAAAACAAACGTGTCTCTGTCTGACTGTGCTGCTTATATGCTACAGACCAGGAAGGATGTGGAACCTGCCGTTGTTGCTGTCCTCACCCTAACATGTCACTGCAGCCTTGTCTGGATGTCACATAGCTGAAACCTTGCATGTGACTTTAGAGTCCTCCTTTCCTATCAGCTTTATTCATGTTTTAGGCATCAAACTTGGCCTCTTTGCTGCCCAGGACTCTGGATTCGGGTTTACTCAGTCGTCTACAGAAAGACAGGTGCTTGCTTGCTCGGTTCTACTTTGTCCTAATGTGGATAATGCTGCCAAAAAAATATGTGGACAGCTTGTCCTGTCAGTGCATGTACACACCATCCAGCTGCCCTCCTGAGTGGCTGGCTGCACTTGACAAGTAGCTTTTTCCATATGTATTTGTCTTCAGGTTTTAAAGGCAAAATAATTCAACTAGAACGGCATCTTAAGCTGTGGATTTGTTAGTGAAGGTATGTCACTGTTTCATCTGAACTCTGCCCTGCACAAACTTGGCCATTGTTGTGTTCTAGAGTAACCTCTAGCTGAGGTTCTGGCTGCCCAGTCTTTATGCCCTTCTTGGTGAAAAGCATGGCTGATGTTTATGTCTTCTGAGACACGGTTTTATGTAGCCAGGCTAGCCTTGAACTGACCCTTCTACCTTCACCTCCTATGTTCTGGGATTACAGGCATACCTCACCACGCCCATCTGAAGAACCCTTCCAGGACAGCTTCTCCTCTGATCCCAGTAACCCTGAGAGGCCTGAGGAAACCAAGATACCTGGTTGTCCTTCTGCATCAGGGTCCACAGGTCAAGGACACCGGTCCCACAGTCTGTGGCCACTCGTAGACACGCATTAGCATATTCACCGGCAACTGAGTTACGGCGGTTTAACTTGCAACCTGTTGGTGACAAAGAACATCATTGGCAAACTTACTGCAGGTCCTTACGGAACTACAGTGACTAGACCGTTTCTAAGTGCCACTGATGCCAGCCTTCCTGGGGGGCTACGACAGTGGCCCTGCTCTCACGGTGGAGGACAAAGGGCAGAGCGGGAGAAGCAGCCAGCTGTGGCATCTAGAAGCTTCTAAGATGGTCAGGGTGCAGAGTTGAACCAGTTAGAGAGCAGATCACAACGAGATGGGTAAGGGACATGGCTGGAAATGTTGAGGCCATGGCATACACACTGCCACTGAGCAGCCAACAGCACTGCAGTAATGTGAGAGAAGTCGACAGCCTGCAGAGACTAGTCACTGCCAGAGCCTGCTACCACACGCTGTGCCCGTAAACAACATGCTCAGCCATCCTGAGGCTTTCCAGATACACGCCATAACTATCGCATTCATGCACATTATAGTATAAAATGTACACACTTAGTCAAGTACATGCAGCCCACCTCCCAGGCTATGAGGGCGGGAGACTACCCAGGGTAGGCGGCCAGCCACCCAGCTTAGGGCCAGAGCTGGGGACAACCTCCAAAGTGCAGGTGGGGGACAGGAAAAGATCTACTTTCCCCTAGTTTTGACAGCTGACCTGTGTTGAAAGCCATTTAAATGTGTCCCAGTCAAACCGTCTTCGGATCCAGGCCACGGAGACAAAGTCCACAGTACACAGTACACCTTTCCAGTCAAGTGTGCCAGCATGACAGTGACCATGCTGAAGGGACAAGGCACACAGGGAAGGAAAGTGGAGGGATTTTACCATCACTCCCTTCGCCAACTGCCAAAGGAGGCAAGACGGGAGCAGCTCCTAGCAGCTGAAAAAGGGGTCACCTGCAGAGCTCGGCTGCAGGCACCTTCCCTGTGCCAGAGGAGAGCACCTGACAGCCCCAGATTCGGCTGGCAGTGGGCTTTGTGTGCACCATGGAAGTGGCAACTACAGACGGTGCTGGGACAACGATGCCCTCCTGACCTACACCAGGACCCCTGCCCCACTCTGTATAAACCAGGCTAGAGTAGGACAACAGGCGTTGAGCTTGTGAGTTGGCACTCCAGCTGACGGGGCCCTGGAATGGAAGCCCCCAGCAATCACAAGCAGCTGTGACAGGCCAAGCATGCTTTGTTCACCTTTCAGGATGCATTCCTTCTCCCAGGCTGCTTCCAGCGGGGGTGGGGTGATGAGAATGACTCGCTCCTCAGGGATGTCCACAGACCTCAGGTACTGCACCATGGCCCTCAAGTTTGCACTGTACTCATCCAAGGGGACGTGCTGCTTGGGGTTCTCATCTGTTCAAGACATGTACACCTCAGTCTGAACACTTTATGAGAAACAACAAATAAGGCAAATATGTATTCCTTTCACTTGTTAAAAAAAAATTGGTCTTTGAGACAGTTTCTGGCACAGACAGGTTCTAAATTCACTACCTAGCTAAGACAGAGTCTTACTATGTAGCCCTGATAGCTTGGAACTCACAGAGATCCTACTGTCCCTGTGCTGGCCTCCCAAGTGCTGGGAAGGTAACTGAGCTCAGTGTACACACTAGGCAAGCAGTCTACCTACTCTTGGACATCCTCAGGCCTTCCTGAGTCTTATTGTTATTGCTTGTTTGTTTTGAGACAAGGTTTCTCTGTGTAGCTTTGAAGCCTGTTCTGGGATTCAAACCAAGCAGGCCTCAAACTCACTGATCTGCCTGCCTCTGCCTCCCAAGTGCTGGGATTAAAGATGTCCACCACGATGAGACAGGATCTTACTCTGATTCAGGATGGCCTGGACCTTGCAGACATCTTTCTATCCCAGCCCCCCCCCCCCCCCCAGTGCAGAGACCACAAGCATTACGCCCAGGCAGGAATAGACTTTTTGCAAATTTATAAATACTTGAGAACCAGAAGACACAAAGAAAAACAATTCCCTCCCTGTAAAGCCAGTTAGCTATTCGCTCACAGCTCGGGCCTCAGATGGGCTAGGGCCTTTTGAGCATGCTGGTCTTTTCTCTAGGTTCCCTATTGTCAGTAAGGCTGGATCTATAGGCTGTGACATATAAGACTGCCCCAGCTCCCACCCTGGCTGTCACTGGCTAGTCACTTAACCATGTCCTCACGGGAAATAAGGGGAATGAGAGGCTCTGCCTCTCAGGACAGCTATGTAAAACTGCACCGGACTGCAGAGGCTTGCTTGCTTCCAGTCAGGCTAGCACACAGGCAGAGCTCTCTGCAGAGTCTATGCAAACCACAGGAAGAAACAAAGTTATCCACGAGACTGCCATCTAGGCCGCTGCTGGTGATTAGATGTGTTCCTGGTCAGTCAGTCTCTGTAACATGTGTAATTTATGCAATTTTTCCCATTAACCAAAATACCAGTAACGGGTCAACCAGGTTGGCACACCCCTATCATCCTAGCACTTGAGAGGTAGAGGCAGGAGGATAAACTAGCCTTAGCTACCTAGTGTGTTTGAGGCCAGCCTGGGCTACAGGAGATGATGTCTCTAACAAAAAGATTCCTTTTTCACCAGTGAGTGCATGCCCTCCGCTGCCAACTGCATCAACTGAGTACACTCCAGTACAGGAACAAAGGAAAAGTAGTTGCAGGTGGGCCAGCAAGGCAGCCATGTGGAAAACGAGCCTGGAGTACCTGAGCCAAATGTAACCACATCAAAGCCCAGAGAAACCCATGTAGGCAAGCCCTGGGAATGCACTGTTCTCTGGGAAACTCGACTGTGAGATACATATAAACATGGGTTAGCCTGAGTCCAGGAAAAACAAAGTCAGTTTAGAAATGTCCTTTACCTTTGAGTGTGGCATCATTGGCACCGAAGAAAATGGTAACTGCCACTGGAGTTTCCTTGCTGCCCCCTTTACTAATTAGTCTTGGGAGGATAATCTTGGCCCATCTGGTATTGTAACCAGAAAACCCACGATTCAGAACATCACATTTTCTGAAAGAAAATTGTTTCAACAACAACAACAACAACAAAAAGGGGTTATGAGCAAAGAGTGGCTTCCTTGCAGTGTTCAGAGCCTGCCCAGCCTTCTCATATCCCTCAGTTAGATATGGATCCCATACAAGGGGCTAATTCTGTTCATGTCTGTGGTGGCTCAGGGTGCATCTAAAATGGATTTTTCTGACAGATGTTAATCTGGGCAAGTACAGAATGCTAGAGACCGGCTAACAGGCACCCTGGCCAACCCAAGTGCCACCTGATTTCACACGGTGGCAAACTTGATTTTGATGAACCCAAGTGCCTGCCTGGTGTTCCTTTAACCGAGGGAGAGAAAGGACCAACAGATGAAAACACACTGTGTCTCCACTCTTCCCACGAGGCCCATTAGGAAGCATCTGAGTAAATCTGGGAATTGTTCTCACCTGACAAGTCGGTCAGCCAGTAATGCGCCCCCATCCACCTGGCTGGAAAGAAAACTGAAGAGAAAAGCTAGTTACTATCCACACAGCCAGACACAATGGCAAAAGTGGTCGGGTCGCCCTTTAGATGCAGGCTAGTCTTGACACAACCCTGGGCTTCTTGCCTTCCTTGCTTGGGAAGGGATCTTGTTGGTCACTGTGGCTTCACTTGGTAGCTGTCTGGAAATGCAGTTTTCTTTATCAATGGACCTGAGCCAACTATCTATATTTTACTGTGATTTGACATTAGAGACATCTGTTATCTATACAGGGAAACTCAGCTATGTTGGGTTAGATGACATCGTGTTATCGTCTCACTTCTCCACAGATGAAAACCAAGGAAGCCAATTTCCTAACAGGGCAGCCCTCTGGCAACAACGTGCCACCACAGCCACCTACAAAAACCTAAATAATGTCAATTATTAGGGAACGCCAAGCCTGGGTATTAGAAAACCACGGGAAAGCGGGTTTTCTGTCTGCCAGAGGGAAGGCATTGTGAGGAACTTCCTTAATTGGGAGTTAATCGGTCTCAGATGACAGGATTACTTTTTCGTACTAGTCGGCTCAAAGTTCAAAGTGTCCTCGGGGAGAACCCGCAGGAGGCTGCGGGAAGCGGACTCGGAGAGGCCCCGGCCCCTCAAAGCGTCTCCCCCCATGGTCCCCCTGAAAAGACGTGGACTTGGCCCGGGCGTCCACACCAGCCCGCGAAGGTGCACGGCCCTCGTAGCACGAGAGGAACCGCGCCAGGTCCGCCCGGCACACGCGCAGACACAGCTGAGGGTTCGGTGGGTACCTGCGTGATGGAGTCCCCGAAGAGCAACACCCGAGGCCATAGCAAAGAGCTCCCGCTGGCTGCCCGCTCACACAGCGCCATGGTAGCCAGCTCCGGGCGGCCGGTCTGCGCCGGATGTGGAGGCTCCGCGAGGGGGCGGGGCCTCGGTGGGCGGGGCGGCTCTGCTCTCCCTCCTCCCGCGGGCGCTTCTGGGTCGGGTGAGTAGGGCTCTCTTAGCTGGCTCACCCCACCCCCAGGATTCCGGTGGCCTGGAGACTTGAAAAGCTCAGGGTACCTAGCTTCAGGCTGGCGGAGCTGGGATCTGCTTCAGCAGGCGCACCTGCCCCATCACTGGCCAAGTCCGAGCCTCTCCTTCCCTACTAGCCTTGATGGACACAGTAAAGCGCAGCTTTGAAAGCCAGAGCTGTTGAGGGACCCTCATTCCAGTCCACCAGACTCGATGGCATCGTGCCATTGCATTAAAACGAAATGCTTAGTTTTATATGATAAACGTTTGCATGATGTTGGGCCCTAGACTTTTGATATGGGCCAGACACAGGACTTGGGCTTTTTTTTTTTTTAAATATTAATTGCATTCTAAGGAGGTCAGATAAAGTGCAGGAGTGTCTACACACTTAGGAGGGGAGGTACATGGGATAGCTTCCGTTGGCGCAATTCCGTAGCTTGATAGTATGCTCTGAGGGTGAGGCACCAGCAAGCTCCTGTCTCTGACCTGAGCGCGCAGCTCCCCGAAAGGGGTGATTTTACAAACATAAGAATTTCTAAAGGGGCTAGAGAACGAGTTTCAAACCTGTGGCACAATATTTGCCTTCAACTGTGAACATGGACCATGGCTTTTCCTTTCTGCTGGAAGATCTAAGGATCCCAGCAGCGCTGGGTAAAGGGCCTGCAGGCAGCTCCAGGGAGGATGGAGGAGAACAATGGACAAATCAGTTGGGATCCAGCAGGAGTCAGGCCATCAGAAGTGAAAGGAAACAGGCCACCCCAGAGAAACTAAGGTATTTTATTTGAAGTAACAAGAGGTAAAGAGTAAAAAAAGTTCAAGTGCTGGGAATTAAGTGGTCAGTGCACAGGGGTCAGGGCGGCGTACAGCCTCTGGGCAGCCAGCTCCACCATCTCTCTGAGGGACTCATCCTCTTCACTTCCTTCTTCACACTCTACGACCTGAAAGTGAAAGCATAAGCTTCAACCTACAACCAATCAAATGAACACTCTAAACCCTGCAGGCTGACTGCCAGGACCCCAGCTGCTGGCCTATCCACCTGTGGCTTGGAAGTGTTCTCACAACACTGACTGGAGAGCCGAAGGGGAGGGGCAGGAACTGACTCTTAGGCCAAAGGCCCTACTATCTACTCAGTACATGATACTCGATGTACTGCAAGTCAGTCTGTGTAGCACAGATTATTTAGCAGGCAATGGGTGTAGTAAACTGTTCACCATTTGGTGATATTTGACTCAAACTAACCATCTTATGGCCACTGCCTTGTTATTGCTGTTGCTTTATAAAGGCAACATTAGTCTCACTATACAGACTTGCTTCAAACTTGTTCTAACTCAGGCCAACCTAGAACTTGTGATCTTCTGCCCCAGCCTCCTGAGCTTACGGGCATGCTTGGTCGCTGATGTCTTACAGTTCAACTACAAAACCCAGTGCCACAGAGTTCCAAGGCCGGCCCGGGCTACAGGATAAGAACCCATACATATCTCAAAACCCAAACCAAACCAAACCTGGAGCCAGGGTGTTGGTATTACAGGCACGCACTCCCACATGCCCACCTCTATGTGTCACCAGGGAGAACCCAGGCTTTGTCCAGGTTGTGAAAACCCCTACCAATCGAGCCAGCAAACTGCAGCACCCAACTGCCAGGGCTGAAATCTTATTACGGTCTTCACCTCATCCCTAAATGTCTTGAAACACATGGATAGCTACATACCCGAGTCTCCAAATTAATATTCGCTGTTTTCCCATCCACCGTGACACTGAGGACAGAGTCATCTTTCACACTGACACAGTCTTCTCCAAATATGTCCCTTTAAGTGGACAGAAATTGGTATCACTGAGAAAGTCCAACTTTACCGGTGCAAGGGGTCTAAATTCTAGAAGGATGCTTTTATTTAGCTACTCTGGAGACATGCTATTGATTATCCATTGTACAACAGCTGAAACACAGCTCTATTCATGGGAATACTCCACTTTGGTTTTGTTTTTAATTTGATACCTGACTAAGCTTAGGGCCTTGCACAGTAGGAAGACATTCCACACCAGCCCTTTACACTCTATTCTGAAACAGGGTCTCACAAAGTTGTCTAGAATGGATGTCAGCTTCTATGTAGCATAGATATTGTGACCCCTCCAGTTTGGGGCCAACTTGGGCAATACAATGATATTATGTCTCTTAAAACACGAAACAAAACACACACACACACACACACACACACACACAAAAGCCAACTAAAGTCATTAAAAAGCCACTATTACCAGTATGAAAGAAAACCAGAAGGGACACAAAAACCCCCCAAACACTAAGATTTCTACCTAAGTTACTCTTGACTTTGAGGCAGAAGCTGCCACTGTCATGACTGGAACCTGCAACGTCCTCAGAGGGTGTACAAACTGGCTACCAGGTGATAGGTTCTGGCCTAATCTACAGACCAACTCCTTCCCTTCCAGACTCACATCAGGCTGCCACTGGTGCAGCTGCACTGGTAACGGACATGAGGCCTGGGCGACCAAGACACTGGGAGCATGACTGTGATGGGGACAGACAGCCTGTGACTGTGATGGGGACAGCCTGTGACTGTGAAGGGGACAGAAAGCCTGTGACTGTGAAGGGGACAGACAGCTTGACAGACAGCCTGTGACTGTGATGGGGACAGACAGCCTGTGACTGTGATGGGGACAGCCTGTGACTGTGAAGGGGACAGCCAGCCTGACAGCCAGCCTGTGACTGTGATGGGGACAGCCCGTGACTGTGAAGAAGAGAATATATAGGTAAGCTTCCTCCTCTATACAATCCCCCCCATGATGCTCCAGTCCATATCAGGCCAAAGCCAAGGCTACCTGGCAGAGTCCTTTGAACCAGGAGCCAAAATTTATCTTTCTTCCCTTTGTCTTGCATACATTTGTCTCTAATGAAAACTAAGTTATTCATTCACCAAGCCAATTAGAGATCAGCACTTTAGGTACCATGTTAGGTGCTGAAATTATAAATTAACTATTTACTGTTAAGAGCATCCTGAAGTCAGCTCAAAGATCACCCACAGGAGGGCATATTGGTAGAAACACACCAGTCTAGGGACGTTCATAGTTACAGACAGACTTACTGGAAGGAGCTTAGAACATCCACATTATCAAACAATTCACACCCGAGCCAACACTTAAATAACTCTTAAAGGTACAGTGACACTCATCTGACATCGCGTCAGTTGACAGATGCGCAGGCTTTGTAAGCACAGTGCCAACCGGGCTGGGCATTGGCATCTGGCACCAACCAGAGTGAACTTGGACACAACTTAGTATGTGAGTAGTATGGGAACACTCCACGAGTTCAGCACTCCCACATTTGTTCCCTCACACCCACACACGCATACACCTGTGTGCCTGCACACCCAGCACCTGAGACTTACTGCAGCATGACCTCCAGCCTCTTGCTGTAAACATGCATCTCTAACTTCTTAGAGACCTTCTGCACCGCACCTAGAGGACAAACAGCTCAGTTTTCATATTCCCATTTATAGCCACCAAACAGGTCACCAGAGCATGGCTATGGGGACGTGAAGTAACCGTGGAGACTTCAAAGTCAAAGCATGGGATGTGTCACCCGCCCACATAAGGCAAATTCATGGGCATTGTGTCAGTTCATGTTTTTATAAAGGAAGGAACCACAATGACACCCAGTTCACTTTTATTTCCCACATTTCTCAAACTCATATTCTCAGGACAGGATAGGTCCAAAGACTCCAGGACACATGAAGCTCGCCTGTATCTAAACGTTATATTCAGTTACCATACTGCTATTGCATCTGATACGAATGTTTTAATAAAAATCAATACTTAAGGGCTGGAGAGATGTCTTGGCAATTAAGAGCACTTCTCGCTCTTGCAGAGGACCTGAGTTCAGACCCCAGCACCCATTCGAGGTAGCTCACAACCTCAACTCCAGCTCCAGGGAATCTGATCACTCTGGTCTCTAGAGGCACCTTTACTCATGTGCTCATACACATGAAACTAAAAGTAAACCTTAAAAAACAAAACAAAACAAAAAAAACCACTCACTAGGCAGGACAGTGGTGGCACACACCTTTAATCCCAGCACTCAGCGGGTAGAGGCAGATGGATCTCTGTGAGTTCGAGGCCAGCCTGGTCTATAGAGTGAGTTCTAGGACTACACAGAGAAACCCTCCCTGTCTTAAAAAACCAAAATGAAATAATGATAATAATACTACTACTTGAAGGTGTCTGCCTATTAATAATGATGTAAAACAAAACAAAACAAAAAAACCCAACGAACACAGAACTTGATGGTCAAAATGAGTCATCTTTAATCTGGAGTTAAGGTCACCCTTGAACATCCATTTTTACACACACCTCCCTGGCCTGCACCAGCTACACAACAAAGTGCTCACTCATGGTTTCTGCTCCCCCAAAGGGTAGGCAGAGTAAACAGGAGACAGGGTCTCTTTTCTCTTGTAGAGTCCAGGCTGGCCTTGAACTTGCCCTCCTTCCCCTACTCAAGTGCTAGAATGGCAGGTGTGCACTACTGTGCCCGGCCAGAACCATTCTCAGGGCTGGCGAAGGTTCCAGGACCTGATGCCCACTAAGCCGGTGCTCTTAGTGCTCAACCACAGCAGCCCCACAGAGCAAACAGCAGCACTGTTCGCAGGGCCAAAGGCAAGGGTGAAGACTGAGCAGAGACTCTCACACTGCTGTGACCCACAACCAGATGCTCACCAGCAGCTCAAGGGAGGGTGTGGACATGGCCTGCTTACTCATGTCAGTCATGTGACGGGGGGAGTGACCAGTTCTACTTCCTTCCCCTGTGCCCACCGTGTCTCTGAGACAGGGACATTCTATCCTCAGGGTGCCTCCTTGTGTAGTGGCACATCTGTGCAGC